TTCAGAACTGTTGGCAAAAAGGAAAAGTAAGTCACTAATGGTGATGCCAGACACTCAGACAAAACGTCTTGCCAATCGGGAAAACTACTTCATGTTGGGCTTTTTATACGACCAACCTTTTTTTTTTTTTTTTTTTTGAGACGGGGGAGTTTTGCTCTTCACCCAGGCTGGAATGCAGTGGTGCGATCTCAGCTCACTGCAACTTCCTCCTCCGGGGTTCAAAGCGATTCTCCTGCCTCAGCCCTCCCAAGTTTACAGGCCTCCCTGCTAATTTTGGAATTTTTGTATTTTTTTTTTTGAGATGAGTCTCGCTGTGTCGCCAGAACTGGAGTGCAGTGGCGCCATCTTGACTCACTGCAAGCTCTGCCTCCAGGTCACCGCCATTCTCCTGTCTCCAGCCTCCTGAGCAGCTGGACTACAGGTCCCGCCATGCCCAGTTAAATTTTGTACTTTTTAGTAGAGATGGGGTTTCACTGTGTTAGCCAGGATGGTCTCGATCTCCTAACCTTGTTGATCCGCCCACCTCGGCCTCCCAAAGTGCTGGGATTACAGGCATGAGTCACCACACCCAGTCACCGTATTTTTGTATTTTTAGAGAGACAGGTTTCACCCATGTCCGCCAGGCTGGCTCGAACTCCTGACTTCAGGTGATCCACCCGCCTTGGGCCTCTGAAAGCGCTGAGATTACAGGTTCTGAGCCACCCACCCTGGCTATATAATGACCACTTTTTACATAGTAGCTCAATAGAGACAGGGTTTCACCATGTCGGCCAGGCTGGTCTCGAACTCCTGACTTCAGGTGATCCACCCGCCTTGGCCTCTGAAAGCGCTGAGATTACAGGTGTGAGCCACCACACCTGGCTATAATGACCACTTTTTACATAGTAGTCAATATAATGCATTTGATGCATATTGATTTTTATCTCGTAGAAGCAGCAGTTAGACAAAAACATGGACAAACCCAATATAGTTGCAGAATAGAATGCAAGTGGGCAAGTCTCAGTACTGTCAAAATTGGAGTGCTGCTGGCCAGAGCTAGGAGGGGCCGCTGTGCCGGTGACCGAACAGCAGGTGCTGATGCTCTCACACAGCCCAAGGGCAAATTAAATTGACAAAACAAGAAACGGAGTTTTGAGGTTATTATTTGAAATTGTAAAGATAAGTAATAAAAGAATCAAAATGAACTGAGGATTTACAGAATAGGAATAAAAGGGAAACTGTAGGATTTTAAAGAAGAATAATAGAGTTAACCACCAGAAAACACTACAAGTGTTCCCAGCTTTGAAAGTTTTACCTTTTTTTTTTTTAGTTGGAGTTTCGCTCTTGTTGCCTAGGCTGGAGTGCAATGGTGTGATCTCGGCTCACTACAACCTCCGCCTCCCAGGTTCAAGTGATTTTCCTGCCTCAGCCTCCCAAGTAGCTGGGATTACAGGCATGCACCAGCACACCCGGCCAACTTTATATTTTTAATAGAGATGGGATTTCTCCATGTTGGTCAGTCTGGTCTCGAACTTCCGACCTCAGGTGATCTGCCCGCCTCGGCCTCCTAAAGTGTTGGGATTACAGGCATGAGCCACTGTGCCCTGCCTAGGAAAGCTTTTCTTTACCAATATATCTGAGTGGTGGGGAGGTGGAGAGGACTGCAATTTAATTGACAATAGAAAGAGGAACAGCAGAAAAGTTTGCTTTTACTGTATTTAGGAGCCCTCCAAAAGGAGTGGCTCCAGGAGCCGCCAGGGGTGAGAGTTCATACATCAGCATCGTAAAAGCGGGGTGGTAAGGACTTCGGGGTAAAGTATGGAAGGTTTTCAGAGGGCTTGCTTACACAGGGTTTAATCTTGGTGTTAACAGGCACCTTGAGAAGGGATGTGTGGCAGCTTCATGATCAGAAATCTGCCTTTAACAAGATATGGGAAGCTCAAAAAAGGCCTCTAGGCTGGGCGCAATGGCTCACTCCTGTAATCCCAGCACTTTGGGAGGCCGAGGCAGGCAGATCCTGACTTGAGGTCAGGAGTTCGAGACCAAATCTGGCCAACATGGTGAAACCCTGTCTCTACTAAAAATACAAAAATTAGCCGGGCATGGTGGTGTGTACCTGTAATCTCAGCTTCTCAGGAGGCTGAGGCAGGAGAATCGCTTGAACCCAGGAGGCAGAGGTTGCCGTGAGCCGAGACTGTACCACTGCATGCCAGCCTGAGTGACAGAGAGACTCCATCCCAGAAAAAAAAAAAGTCTCTAGCTGTGTCTGCTGTATCTCAGATGTCTTCAGTCTAAAGCAGGGATCTCCAACTCCCAGGCCATGGACTGGAGCTCGTCTGTGGCCTGTTAGGAATGGGGCCACACAGCAGGAGGTGAATGGTGGGTGGGTGAGCCAGCATCACCTGTCAGGTCAGCAGCGCCACTAGATTCTCATAGGAGTGGGAACCCTGTTGTGAACTGCACATGTGAGGGATCTAGGTTGCCTGCTCCTTGTGTGAATGTAACTAACGCCTGATGATCTGAGGTGGAACAGTTTCATCCTGAAACCGTCCCCCCACCCAACCCTGGGTTAAAAATTGTCTTCCACAAAACTGGTCCCTGGTGCCAAAAAGGTTGGGGACTGCTGGTCTAAAGCGATCTTTATTCCCTCCTGGTGGGTTGTAGGTCCTTTTACTGGGAAGCTGCATTCCAGGTGGGGAGGAGCAAGGCAAAGGAAATTTTCATTGTAAACTTTTCTGTGCAAAAGTTTACAATGTGCAATTTGACTTCCTTCCATGCTTGTAAATTACATCGATCAAAGAGAAAAGGGGAGAAGAGCCCCAGCCCAGCTTGATCCAGTGAGCTGTGGCTGGAAAGGAAGCTCTGGGCAGGGGCTGGGTGTGGTGGTGTTGGGTTCTGTTGGGGGACAGGCCAGGGAAGCTGTGGGACAGATGATGGATGTGATGGGATGCACCAGCAGAGGCCGGCGGGGCCAGCGCATCCCTCCTTCCTTCCTCCCTTCTGTGGACACTTCGGGGAAGTCATAGGTGACTAGTGAGTTAATAAATGAGTTACCAATGAGTAATTAGTTACTGATGAGGTTTTAAGGTTGCAATTATTAAGGAATCCATGAGTTACTAGAGGAGTATTAGCTATTAATGAGATGCTCTCTAACTCCAGTTCCTATGGTTCTGTGTTTCAGCTTCTAAAAAGAATAAACTCGGAATTAATTTCCAAATATTATGCTTTAAAATTGTATCTGTCAAACCTCACAGTTACCTCAAAGGAGACATTTTTAAAAATAAGTGGAATATTCACTGTTGGAAACAAATGCTCGGTGCCACAAAGTGAAACCAGCACTCAGGCAAGTTTTCTCAGCAAGGCAATTTACTTCTGCAGAAGGGTGCTGCTTGCATCAATCAAGATCACAGGAGCACATTGAACAAAGGAGGGAAAATGTTTTTATCCCTAACACAGTCTCTACCTCTGTGTCACTCCCCCAGGGCTGGGGTCAGACCACACATTCTAAGTTGACCCGATTGGCCATTTGTGAAGACTTTTCCAAATAAGGAAGGGAAGGGGGATGTGAGTTACAGTGGTGGGACGTGCAGTTTCAGCGGGAAGAATGGGTGCAGAGTCGGTAACCAAGGGAACAGATGTGAGTTATTGATTAGAACTGGCGGGAAGGTTGTTCACAGTAACTAGGGACAAGGAAGCATGGAGAACAAGGAAGTTGAGTTTGAGAACAAAGAATAAGGAAGTTAACAGGCTAAATCTTTGAAGAGGAATTTACTGTATCTTATAATTTTCCCCTTTCAATTTTTATGGTCCCTCCTCTTCAAACCTTTTTAACATGTCTTGGCTTTGCTGTTCGACTTGATCCTCTGAAAGGAAAAGCTTATCTGAATAAGGTGGAGGAGAGCTAAGGGAGGTTATAGTAAGTGCTGTTTCTATAAGCCTCTGTACTAGCCTACGGATACATGGTATGACACAACACCCAACAAGAATGAGTACACCTATTATGGCTGCAAGAGAAGTAAGAATTGAGTCTGTGATTCCTTTCCATTTACCAAACCACCTTTCTAGCCATCCTGAAAAAGGGTCATTGGCTCCAGAATGTTTAGCTAATTCACTGGATAAAGCAGTAAGGCCTTGTAAGGCCCTTGGTATGCTCCCACTGGGGGCAGTATTGTTTGGGATGAAGGTACAACACTGAGTTTTGATCATAACACAAACTCCACCTTTTTTGGCTAATGTCATGTCTAGGGCCATTCTGTTTTCCCAAGCCAACTGGCTAGTAGGCCCTAACTGTTCGGCTATTCCTTTGACAGCATCTCTAGTGTAGTTAATAAACTGCTGCTGGTTATAAAAGATGTAATTTATCCAATCTATATTTTTATTGATAGTTACCCACCAAAGTACTGATTCAAATCCTGCAGCTATCTGGTCTTGAGCTTTGAATTTGTCTAGTACTCCTGTGGGACTCCAACTGCGTCTAAATAAACTTGAGAGTCAAAAGACCCCTAAGGGGCTTCTCTTATTTTATGGTGGTGTGGCTTTTCTTTTTCTGGTTGAAGAAATGAAAGGGCGAAAGGGACAGCCAATTGTACAAGAGCATGAGTACCACTCCAGTTACTTGGCAGAGTGTCCAGTAAGGGTCCATCACAATACCACTATACATCCGCTCGAGGATGACTAAGGGCAGACTGATGGGTAAGCTCTTGGAAGGGCTTAAGCTCGCTACATCCTGTTAAACTTCCAAGGAATGCCAAGTTCTCCCCTTGTCATGAAAGACATGAGGTGAAACTGACATTGGGAGACGGAAGCTGGATGGCCCTCGGGGGCTGATGCGCAGGGTGTTGAACTTCAGGATAGAGCAGAGAGACAGCTTGGCATGATTTATTGCCCCAAACTGTAGAATCCTGGAAGAGAGCTACCATACAGCCCATGCTTGGTCGACTGGAGGACTATCTGAGTGGAAAGGGGACAATCTGGGCCTCTGGCCTGCTGTGCGCACAAGCATAACAATTGCTTTTGTTTAAAGTGTGTACGGAATATTTAATCCATTCCATCCAGGCATTTGCATCTTGATATCCTGTTTCAATTGCTAAAGTTTGTTTTAGGTCATTTACTTCTACAATATCTATTTTGGTTTTATCTTTGGGTGGAGGAAGAACAGAACATTGGGGGATAGTGTAGAAGGAGATGTAGGAGGTGAAGGAATAGTAAAACATATCTCAAAAGATCCAATAAGATGTGTCCCTGCTATTTTGGCTCCCATGCCATATAAGCAACTTAAAGTAGGTTTAGGGTCAGTAGAAGTGGGAATGAGAATAGAAATTTGCACTGGATTACATTGGTTATACTGGCAATTGTGGGAGGTACTTCCTTTAGTGAAGCGAATGTATGGTTTTAAGGACATACAACCACCTGTTGATGAGGTCCCGCCTTGATGGTCAGTTGTCCACATAGCATCATTCCAGCTATGGCAGACCTGTTTTCCTGCATTCGTTAAGGAATAAGGGTCTTGATAGGGGGAGCCTTTTATCTTAAAGGGGCAGAGATATTTCTCTGAGGCTGAGTGTTGCTTTTGACTTTGGAGATCTCCACAGGGTATAACAAGACATGCATCAAAGGTAATAGTTTGGGGTGAGCTTGACGTGGTTACATTAATAATGAGGTGGTCAGCCATAGAATGAGGAAAGAAGAAGGAGTAGTAGAATAGATGAAAGAGAGTTAAACTTTTCTTAGCATTAGTTTGGTAGGGTTTTCCCCTGGGATAACGGCTCCTGACTCCGGAGGTGGTGGTGCTTTCTTGACTCAGGTGTGATGGGTCCATCCTTTTTCTGCTCTCTGGACTGCGGTTTCAGTGGTTAGGAGCAGCAGGTAAGGTCCTTCCCAGGCTGGTTCGAGTTTCTCCTCTTTCCAGCTTTTGATGAGAACATGATCCCCAGGCTGATGTTGATGTACTGAGAACTCCAGGGGCAGTGCCTGTGTTAGGAGACCTTTGGTTTTAAGAAAAGAGAAAAAGTAGAGTCTGTCTGATGTAAGGTTTTTATTTTTACTTTTTATTTTTATAAACTCTGTTGGACTTGAGAAAGCTTTTTAAATTTTCTTTTTTTTAAGCAGAATCTGAATATTCAATATAACAGGAAACAGTGCATTTTATGCTTAAGGAAAAGAAACTGTAGCGTATCATGATTCAGGTTTTTAATACATTTCTATTTTGCAGATTGGGATTGAGACAGTTATGTTTGGTTTGGACAGTGACCCCAGCATGATGATTATCTGCATGTCCTTAATATTGATCAGGGTTGTTCTCATGAAAGATCATTTCAAGATCCATACAACCAAGATTTCAGGACTGTTGGCAAAATAGGGGAAAGTAAGTCACTATGGTGATGCAGACACTCAATGTCTGCATCGGGAAACTACTTCACTTGGGTTTATAGCAACCACTTTTTTTTTTTTTTTTTTTTTTGAGACAGAGTTTTGCTCTTTCACCCAGGCTGGAGTGCAATGGTGAGATCTCGGCTCACTGCAACCTCTGCCTACTGGGTTCAAGTGATTCTCCTGCCCCAGTCTCCCAAGTAGCTGAAATTATAGGCGCCCAGCTACTTTTTGTATTTTTAGTAGAGACAGGGTTTCACCATATCGGCCAGGCTGGTCTCAAACTCTTGACCTCAGGTGATCCACCTGCCTTGGCCTCCAAAAGTGCTGGGATTACAGATGTGAGCCACCGTGCCTGGTTTAGATGATTTCTTCACGGCACATATCATTAAAAATGTATCCCAAACACTAGACATTAAATGGGAATATCATACTCCTTGGTACCCACCTTCATCAGGTAGGGTAGAAAGTTTGAATCAGACCCTGAAGAACCACTTAACCAAATTAGTTCTAGAAACTCTGTTGCCATAGATTAAATGTCTTGCTATTGCCTTGTTAAGAATCTGAACTGTCCCTTGGAAAGATATTGGCCTTTCTCCTTATGAGATGCTCTTTGAATTGCCTTATTTACACTCCACCGCTGACATTCCTACATTTGAAACAAAAGACCAATTTCTCAAGAATTATATACTTGGTCTCTCCTCTACTTTCTTTTTAGAAGGCGTGGGAAATGAAGGCCTAGGTCCCCTAGTTGGAGGCTTGGGTCCTTCGAACAAGGGTCTGGACCCTTTATAGTTTTTGGCCCCCTGGAGACCTTGTTTAGAAGTATATGGGTTTGGAGCCATCTGCTAGAAAGTAGATAACACGAATTTTGCCTTTTGTTTCTGCTTTTCTTCGTCTCTCCTCACATACACTTTTTGAGCTTCTCTGAGAAGTTCACTTAGGGGTTGGTTTTCCCAATCTTCTAATTTTCATAACTTTTAAAAAATATCTGGCCAACTTTTAGTGACAAAATGTAGCTTTAACATTCCCTGTCCAAGGAGAGCTTCCAAATTTAGGCCTGCGTACTATCTCATTTGCTCCTTTAGCCTGTCTAAGAATTTCATAGGCCCATCATCTTTTTCCTGTTGTATATTAAATGCTTTAGAGAGGTTTAGGGTTCAGGGTACTGATTCTCTAATTCCTTTTATTATCATTTCCCATAGGTCTTGCATATATTTTCTCAGTGAGCTGCATTATTATTGTCCCACTTGGGGTCTTGGGTGGGAAATTTTTTATCTGCAGTAGGACGTTTTGACCAGGAGGGTGTTCACATTCCAAAATTGCCATAGCAGCCCTACAGATTATGCTTCTTTCTTCCCCTGAAAAGACGATACCTCGGTTGGACATTAACTTGACCCAAGTGTATAACTAAGGTCCCAATAATTGATCAACTTGATCTGACACCCCATAAGGGTCACCTAACAATGGCTTTGGTTCCTTTTTCAAACTTAGGACTTCTGAACTAGTTAAGGGAGCATTCACAAAGCCAATAGCTCCCCCTCCTTGTGGCACCTCTTTTAAGGGGAAGAGAGTTGGGGTTGACTCCTTAGGTGTGGAGGGAAACGGGAAATTCTGGATATTCTTTTTACAGTGTTATACTTCATGCTGGAGTCCTTTTAGGGAGGAGTACTTAGGCTGGGAGGGAACAGGCTCATGGGATGATGATTCCAAAGAATCAGGATTGTAAGGAGGAGGAATAATGTTAGTGGGGGAAGGATCTGGAGCAGGATCCAGGACAGCAGCAGCTGCCTGAGGGTAAGGTTTAGGGGCACTGAGTAGGGGAAGATGGTCTAGGGGATCCCATGTGCTGGAGTCTTTAGGCATGGGAGCTGGCTTTCTGACTCTTCATTTTGAGGTGCTAGATTGTGTTTTTCCCTAGTTGTCTTTCAGGGAAAGAGGACAGGTCCCTGCCTCCAACAAAGAGCATAGTCCAGTTCTTCTTGAAAACCGGGCTTTTATCATTTACATATTGAATTAGAAGTTGACACATCACATTGTCATTCAACCCAAGCTTTGGCCAGAAGATTGAGGGTTTGAGGACGGGTCCCTGAGTCCAAATAAAATAGCAATATTTTATCATTTGTTGCCTTTTCTTATGTTTAGTCCTCTCATTATCTTTCCAATATTTCAACATGAGACCTAGGGAACTATCAGGGAGAATATCTTTATTGCTATCTTAATCCTTTTTACTCCTTGTCTTGCTTGGTGTATTTCCCATGTTGGGTCCTAGTTAGGCTCAATCTCTTGTATTAGAGACTTCTTACCTATTCTTCTCTGGAGGCTTGCTGAATGTTCAATCTCTCATACTAAAGACTTCTTGCCTATTTTTCTCTGGAGGCTTGCTGAGGCCGAATCCCTTGTATTAGAGATTTCTTGCCTATCCTTTTGCCCTACCTGCTGGAGGCTCCTTACACCCTTCTCCCTTCACTTCATCTGCTCTGGCCACTTCCCTCGTGCAGATGCTTCAGGCCCCTCTTAGCATTGATGGTGAGTCCCCTGCTGGGACCCCCAAAGGGCCACCCTAAGACATATGAGGTGACTACGGAACCACACATTGGACTCACTTGCTCTGCACAGCAGTCATGCTTGCTACCATTCATGCACTTTAAACCTCCAGAATATCCCGACCACCAAGGAAGTACTTTGTTGCTGCTGCGATGTTTCTTACCTTAGTCTGTGCACGGAGTTACCTGGTCGCCATGGTGTTGCAAGCCTTTTTCTCCTCACGTTGCTGAGACTCCGGGTTTATTCGTTGCACTGGGTGGGTCCTGATCCCTCACCCTGAGGCCAACTAAATGAGGCAGTGGGACGTGTCTCCTCACGAGAGTTGACTGGAGACCCCTAACTGGAGGAGAATGGGGATCCTGGATGAGCCCCCAGATTTGTTGGAAACAAATGCTCGGTGCCCATAAAGTGAAACCAGCACTCAGGCAAAAGTTTTCTCAGCAAGGCAATTTACTTCTGCAGACGGGTGCTGCCTGCATCAATCATGATCGCAAGAGCACACTGAACAAAGGAGGGAAAGGATTTTTATCCCTAATGCAGTCCCTACCTCTGTGTCACTCCCCCAGGGGCTGGGGTCAGACCACACATTCTAAGTTGACCTGATTGGCTATTTGTGAATACTTTTCCAAATAAGGAAGGGAAGGGGGATGTGAGTTACAGTGGCGGGACATGCAGTTCCAGTGGGAAGAATGGGTGCAGAGTGGGTAACCAAGGGAAAGATGTGAATTATTGATTAGAATTGGCGAGAAGGTTGTTCACAGTAACTAGAGGCAAGGAGGCATGGAGAACAAGGAAGTTGAGTTTGAGAACAAAGAATAAGGAAGTTAACAGGCTAAATCTCTGAAGAGGAATTTATTGTATCTTACATTCACCATCCACCCATTGCTCAGCAGAAAGCCTGTGCTTGGCTCAGGGGTTGTGGTATGAGTGCTCACGAAGGCTCTCAGGCATTGGGACATCAGGCGGCAAGTACACGTGGTAGCCCCAGGTGTGAAAATGCCCAAGGAGAACATCAAGAGAGGCCACGCTCTCAGCCACCACCTCCAGAGATGATGGTCAAAGAGAGCTGGCTCATTGGATTAGTCAGGTTTCTCCAGAGAAACAGAGATAAGATGATCTATTTATCTATCTATCTATCTGTCTATCTATCTATCTACCTACGTACCTACCTACCTACCTGAATGTAAACCAAATATAAAGTCCAAGCCTCCTAACTGACTGAATGGCTCAGTGGCCAAAGGGATTCCAAAGACATGGGAAAAACTAGTTCAGGTCATGATGGGAAGGGAGGAGGGGTCAGATGTTCCTCATTATACTCCCTCCCTTTTGGAGGTTAGAAAAACTGACCAGTATTATCATTAAAATAGAAATCCAAGACTGACAACACAGATGCTGTGTAGGAAACGAGATACCCACTCCAAACTTGGTGGTATAACGTCCCATGACAGATAACGGCCCTAAAGGAAATCAAAGTATTTTACTCCAAAATTTACTTTTCTTTGACACATTTTGAAATGGCCCTGTAAAGCCATTGTGTGTGTGTGTGTGTGTGTGTGTGTAATGGAGTTTCACTCTTGTTGCCCAGGCTGGAGTGCAGTGGTGTGATCTTGGCTTACTGCAATCTCCCCCTCCCAGGTTCAAGTGATTCTCCTGTCTCAGCCTTCTGAGTAGCTGGGATTACAGGCACCTGCCACCACAACTGGCTAATTTTTTGTAGTTTTAGTAGAGATGGGGTTTCATCACATTGGTCAGGCTGGTCTTGAACTCCTGACCTCAAGTGATCCACCTGCCTTGGCCTCCCAAAGTGCTGGGATTACAGGCGTGAGCCACCATGCCCCGCAAAGCCATTTCTTGTGCAGAAAATCTACACTCTGTAGAAAATCCACTTCCCTTTCCAGGTCTTTTCCTGATCCAGGAGAGATTTAATTAAGAGTCTGGCACCTTTTAAGGTCTGAGAAGAGACTGTTACCATCTATTATCTCTGAAGCATGCTACCTGGAGGCTCCATCTATATAACAAGAACCTTGGCTTCTACAGCCCCACTTATCTTAACCCCAAGCATTTCTTTCTGCTGACTTCAACCCTTCAGTCAAAGTTTAACTCTTCCAACTAATTTCTGATCAGGAAATCTTTGAATCTGCCCTATGACCTGGAAGCATCTTGTTTCTAGATATTTTGCCTTTCCAAGCTGAACCAATGTATAGCTTACTTGTATTAATTTATGTCTTTGCCTATAACTTCTGTCTCCCTAAAATGTATAAAATCAAACTTTAACCCAACCACTTTGGGCACAGGTTCTCAGAACCACCTGAGGATCATGATCCTCACATTTGTCTCAGAATAAACCTTTTCAAATATTTTACAGAATTTGGCTTTTTTCATCAGTCTGTCTATCTATCTATCTATCTGTCTGTCTGTCTGTCTGTCTATCTATCTATCTATCTATCTGTGGTGAAAGGAAGATAAATCCTGGGACTTCCAAATCACTAAGCCAAAGGGAAAAGTCAAGCTGGGAACTGCATTAGGCAAACCTGCCTCCCATTTTACTCCTAAATAATGTAACTACAAAGATAAAAAAGCTACATGTCTCCCTAAAATGTGTAAAACCACGTTGTACCCCAGCCACCTTGGGCACATGTCATCAGGACCCCCTGAGGCTGTGTAATGGGCACATCCTTAAGCTTGGCAAAACAAACTTCCTAAATAGATTGAGAGGTTTATTTTGAGGCACTGGTTCATGTGACTGTGGGGCTGGCAAGTCTGGAATGTGCAGGGCAGGTGGCAGGCTGAAAACTCAGAGAAGAGTTGAAGCTGCAGCTCGGGCCCAAGAACAGTTTGCTGGCAGAATTCCCTCCTCCATGGGGGAGGTGAGCCTTTTTCTTAAGGCTTTCAACGGATTGCACGAGCCCTGTAGGGGAGGAATAAAATATCTTTCCTCTATCCATCTTAGCGTTCATTGGATGAGGCCCTGCAAATTAGACTAATGAAAGATGGAGAAACAGGAGAGAAACAAACCAAAGTTTGCTAAAGTGTGCTTACACATGCGAGGACTCAGAGATGAGTCATTGAAAAGGGTGGTTAGCACTTGTTCTTAGGGCCGGGCACGGTGGCACACACCTGTAATCCCAGTACTTTGGGAAGCTGAGGTGTTACAGGAAAAGGGTCCTGATCCAGACCCCAAGAGAGGGTTCTTGGATCTCGCACAAGAAAGAATTGAGGGTAAGTCCATACAGTAAAGTGAAAGCAAGTTCACTAAGAAACTAAAGGAATAAAGAATGAGTACTCCATAGGCAGAGCAGCCCTAAGGGCTGCTGGTTGCCCATTTTCGTGGTTATTTCTGGATTATATGCTAAACAAGGGGTGGATTATTCATGCCTCCCCTTTTTAGGCCATATAGGGTAACTTCCTGATGTTGCCATGGCATCTGTAAACCATCATGGTGCTGGTGGGAGTGTAGCAGTGAGGATGACCAGAGGTCACTCTTGTGGCCGTCTTGGTTTTTGTGGGTTTTAGCCCACTTCTTTACTGCAAGCTGTTTTATCAGCAAGGTCTTTATAACCTGTATCTTGTGATGACTTCCTATCTCATTCTGTGACTTAGATTGCCTGACTGTCTGGGAATGCAGGCCAGCAGGTCTCAGCCTTATTTCACCCAGCCCCTATTCAAAACGGAGTTGCTTTGGTTCAAACTCCTTTGACAGAGATAGGTGGATCATTTGAGTCCAGGAATTCGAGACCACCCTGGGCAACACGGTAAACCCCCGTCTCTACAAAAAAATACATAAAAATGAGCCAGGCATGGTGGCATGTGCCTGTGGTCCCAGCTACTTGCAGGGCTGAGGCAGGAGGATCACTGAGCCTGAGAGGCGGAGGTTGCAGTGAGCTGAGATCGCATGGGCATTGCAGAGAGTCCATATCGCGCCACAGCACAGCACTCCAGCCTGAGTGACAGAATGGGGCCCTGTCTCAAAAAAAAAAAAAAAGAACTTGGGCTGAGATTGTTGCATCTCAATAAAGAACAGTAACTTCGTAGAGAATTGACAAGACAAAGGAAAGAGGAGTTAGGCTTTTAGGGGCAGCAAATAGACAAGGTTAATGTCTGGGGAAAAGGCAGGAAAGGGCTTGTGTGAGTAGAGTCTTCCTTGGTGCTATCTCATCTCAGTGATCTGGCTGTTATCCCCTTCCTGATACAGCAAAGTGGGGAGCACCCTCACAAATGGAAATTTGTGCTCTGTTTTAAGGTAGCGAGTGGGACAGAAGAGAGCTCACCTTTTCTGCTTTTTTTCAGTTGCCTTCAGCTCAAAATAATACTTATGCCAGAGCGGCTTGTTCTGGGCGGCACACCCTGAACCCTTTCAGCCCCACCTGTATTATGGAGGGTCATTTACTTTACTCAAAGTCTGGTGACTTAAACATTAATCTCATCTGAAAAATACCTTTCCAGAAAGCATCTAGAATAATGCTTGAACAAATATTTGGGTACCAGACCCAACTAAGTTCACACATGAAATTAACCATCACACTGACAAGTGAAAATGACGAAGACCATTCCAGGAAAGTGGATGATGGGTCCCGGCTGGGATGAGAAAAGGTGGGGCAGGGGTCTGAGTGCACGACAGTGAAGCGGGGAGGGGGGGGCTGCAGCCACATGGTGGAGGGCCCTGAGGATGTGGGGAGTGTTTAGTATTCTGAGAGGTATGGGGATGAAATTGCTAAAGGAAAAAAATATATATTTGTGGTGTTAGGTGCCAGGGACTTCTATAAAGATCTTCTAGTTCTACATGGCAGGTGTAAAATGGGGTGCTCTGAGAAAGACTGTTTGCCCTACTGAAGAGCAAAGGCTGGATTCTAACTGCAATGGGGAAGAACAGTATTAAATGCATCAAGGAGCCCTCACTTTACACTTTTAATCCAAAAGGATACTTGAACCGTCCTGATACCCTAACCACAACTTTTTTTTTCTTTAATTTTTTAGAGAGTCTTGCTCTGTTACTCAGGCTGAGTTCAGTGGCGCGATCTCAGTTCACTGCAGTCTCTGCCTTCCGGTTCCAGCGATTCTCCTGCTCAGCCTCCAGAGTACCTGGATTACAGGCATGTGCCACCATGCCGGCTAATTTTTGTATTTTTAGTAAAGACGGGGTTTCACATGGTGGCCAACCTAGTCTTGAACTACTGACCTCGGTGATCAGCCTACCTCAGCTTCCCAAGAGTGCTGGGATTACAGGTGTGAGCCACCAGTGCCCGTCCCCTAACCACTACTTATAAACATTTTTTATGTGATGTTAAATGACATTGTATTGGCTTGCACTACAGGCCCCATAGTACTGAGCTGTAATAAAAG